TTCAATTACCTGCGACAAATACCCAACCGCTTAAATACGACAGAGTCCATGCATAGTTAGTAGGTCTGTCTCTTAATTTCAACTCGACAGTTTTGGTTTCGTCTGGATCAAACCATTAGACCAAAGGCGGTTAACTTTAAGACTTGTGATTTGTCAAATTTCATCAAAGTTTTGTAAAAATGCGAAGTGAGAACTGAGCAAACGATATCTACTCGGCAGTTTTGGTTTAGACTAGAACGAGCCATAAGACCACAGGCGACTAACTTACTCTAAACTAAACACCTGATGGTACTTCATTTTGGAGAAGTCAACGACCATACAACTGTGACGTTCGATTTTGCCATACGTTGGACAACTTTGTATTCAAACGGATTTTTACTCAAGATGTGCTGTTTGTCATATATGATCAGAGTTCTGCGGAATCGATAATGGTTTTTGCAAAGTCAGAACTGTGCTTACGATATCTTTCGGCAGTTTTGGTTTAGAACAAACCAGAAGGTCAGAAGGCAGTTAACGTTTTGTGTGAAAGCAGCAGAGGACTCTGGTCGGCTATGTTCGTAGTCGTACAATCCCTGCATTCCATGATTCAAGAAAGGTGACTATCGCAGTCAAGTTATAAGAATTTATTTCGTAATAGCTTGACATTGTGAAGATGCAGATTTCAATATCTTCTATGTATTCTGTCAAATGTAATCAATCTGTGCTCTTCGTTGTGCTAAAGGACACAGTCTTAGACTTCAGCTGGTGATTTTTACCCTTTTTTTTTTATATTGCAACTTACGCAAAATCTGAAAGTGATCAACTTCTGTTTTTTTGTGAGAAATTAAATCGTTAATCTGAAACTCTAAATTTTGATTTTAGTTACAGGTAGTTACCATTAAGCGAATTACAAAACAGCTCGAAAAATATCATCATTTGTGTCGTTTGGTTTATTTCAGTGACCTGAACTTTCTAACAGTTTAATTTACGGAAATTCATGCTAAGAATTTTCCGAGGACAAGATTGGTGCTAAAATTATAGTAATTAATAGAACCTTGTGAAAGCAAAGATAACGATGTCTATGTTTATAAGGAAAGGTACCGTTGCTAGGAAACACTCCAGGAAATACACAATCAGAAGAGACAAACCAAAAGATTTGCTTCCAGAATACCATGAACACAAATTGGTAAGTTTGTTTCTCAAACTTAAACATGGTCTGACCACCGGACGCGGTTTGAGAGCCTAGAGGGTCAGTTGTCCTTGTATTTCTATAACAAACTAATTGAATGAATATTTTTCATATTATTTTAAAAATTATATTTATATTTACTCTGAAACTAAAATTCTAAAATATGATGGCTTACATCCGAAATTCATCTTGGGTATAAACAAGGTGAGGACAAGGAACAAGCTGGAAGAGTTTATTTGGGTATTAGGGCGGATGTCAAGGTCCAAGACCTGCTACGTCCGCACCTCTCCATTATCAATGGGATTTGGGAATTATAAACTCTCACCGACAAAGACTTCGATATTTCAGGCATGTTCTAGAGAAAAAATCCCGTGTGCTAAAATAAACTGTACTAGTTTAAAAGTGGATCGAATTTCCCAAATTGTACACTCCTGGAGATTTTTCTGGAGCCTTAACCGGAGCATTTTCATTTTTACTCGACCTTAAAAACTCTAATGATATTCTAATGAAAGGGAGGTAAATCTTGGTTGCCTGCTTATTCAGTATCCAATGGACTCTCATTTGCCATCAATCGTAGCGTAGCGAGAATGGTCGATTGATATACTATATTTGCCACTACTTCACACAGACCAACCGGTCTACCATGAAAGTTACACTATTTGGCTTTATGGAAACTGCCGAGGATTACCGAATGCCTCACCTATAGTTGAAGACAAAACGAAGCCTGCATGTTAATGAAGCTCTTGAAAAAGATTAAAAGAATGTTTGTCTGCTTCAAACCTTTCCATTAGATTTGACATTTCCTTTGAAAATTAAGAAGAAAGAGGAAAAGACAAAACGGAGATTGTTTTGAGTTGTAATTTTCTTGTTTCAATCCCTACAGAGCAATCACCTTAATTACATCATCAATTTCTTTTGAAAACTTCCTCTCAATCTGTCATTCACCTAGTCTGAAACACCAATCTCTAAAATTTTCTTCTCCCTCTTTGCACACTGCTTCGCTTTGTCAGCCAATATTACCCCAGCTTGGTGCAGAAAACTCCATTAGGTCAGCCCCGAGGCCAGATTGTTCTAGAGGAGGGGAAAGTGAATATATCGGACAATGGGGTATGGTCCTTATTTGAAGTAATGAAATTCAAAACACAAATAATTAATCATCACCAATAAGAGTTTTTATCAGACTATTTATTGGAGTCGGAATCCCATCCTTAAATTAATAGTTACCCTTCAAATATTTCGTTTAAAGGCTACTTATGATTTTACTCAGTGTCCCTTTAAAAACTACAGGACTACCGAATAATCCAAATGGCAGTAACCTATGTTTAATTCAAATAAGCCTAAGTAACTATAGTGTCCATTTTTGTTACTTGCCAAAACCCAATTTTAAGATCTAAACAAGTTAAGAATTTACTTCCATCTAAAGAAGAGACATGGTCATCAATATTTCGAAAGTGGGTCAGATTTAACATTCAATATTGGCTATTCAGTTTTCGATAATCTATACGAAATCGATATAAATTATCAAGCTTAGAGATTAAAATTATAGGTAAGCTTTACGATGAATTTGTATTTTTTCTTATGATCTGCTGACGCAATCAATTTGGATTGTCTGCAAAGGAATATTAAACTAAAATATCGAATCTTCCTCGAGATAGATATTTCTGACACCCCATTCAGTACTTTCGAGAGTCCTTGGCTCTTTAAGACCATAGGCCTAATTGTCAAAAAATGATGCCATTGACCCGTCTCAGAAAACTTAACCACTTTCAGGCCACCGTGGCCATTAACCCTCCCACCCGGCATACATTAAACTAAATTAGATGAAGTTTTAATGGTAGTATCATCCGCAAAATGACCTTCCTTCGTTAATTATTGTTGTCACATATAAAACAAGTAGTTCAATCGGACTAATGGAATGCCTTTCATTAGGATATATCTATCACCGGGGGCGACCTGTAATTATCCTCATCACACATCATTTTCACCTGAGGCGACCTGTAATTGTTATCATTAGCACAACTGGATATACTCAAGTTGTGTCCATTTCTATTTCAATTTTTGTTTTCATCTTCCCATTGTCAAAGTATTCTCCCTGACAGCTATATACATATTTAAAATCCCGTTGGATTACACTTGGGAAAAACATATCAACCTTTGAGTGAGCTCATATTCGAACGGTTGAACGCTTTTTAGCGAGCTTTCCTGAACTTCATCCCTTTCAGAGAGAAACAAGGTTCAGAAGGAACAATACCTAATAACAGATACATTGGCAGCGGGACGATGTCTTCCGTTCAATTCGACCACTTCTCCAGCTTCTCTGAACTTCGTCCCTTTCATAGAGAAAGCAAGGTTCAGAAATCCAAAGGTAATGAAGGAACAATACCTAATAACAGATACATTGGCAGCGGGGCGATGTCTTCGACCACTTCTCCAGTTAATTAGAACATCTACTATTATTCAAATGTCCGAGTTTACCTACTGGCGCTTGATAATAATTAGTCCAGGAGAACTCAACTCAAGTAGAAAGGACTCGTATATTAGTTAGCTTAAAGGGACAGATTCACCATCCGTTTGACCTATCGTATCTTAGTCTCAGAAACGGGAATTTTGTTTAGCTAAGCTAATCAGTAAAAGTGTTCACAGCTCACAGTAAAAATTTGAGTCCTCATATACACGGTGTCCAGCAAATCCGCTTTTGAAAATTAAAATGACGACTCGTCTTCTCGTGAGACTCTGTCTTATATAGAAAAGATACAGTAATATAGAAAACGAAAGTCGAATTTCTATCTTTAGGTATTTTTGAAGGAATTATTCGTCTCAAATATATTTCTAGTAATTCTAAAGACTATTCATTCAAAATCCAAATCAACCACCGAAAATATCGAATCGTTCCCTTTAACTTCTCTATGTGGACTAATGTTATATTGTCGAGGCTCCAACAGGCTTTAGTTTAAGCTACACTTAACCCATTACGCGACATATGTGTAAATTAGATTTAATCGTCTAATTCAGGAGAATATTACTGCTAAGCGTATCTACTATTGAATTTGAAGCTCAGGCATCTAGTTTGCAAACAATTCAATAACACATTTTCCAAAGTTCATTAGCGCATTGCAACATTGCCGTCCGGAAACAGCCGAGAATTTCCGATTGGCCCGTGAAGGAGGCAACCACGAAATGGAAGACAACAGTAATACTATATAAGCTAATTAAAGATAATGCAATTTGGAGTGTAAGCATCTAGACTCGAGCTTGATTACTTTTCTTCACCTTTTTCTCTCATAACGTTGATTAGACTTACAGCTGTCAATTTCCTAGTCTAGGTTTCTAATGCCAGTGTCGTAAATTAGGTTAAAGGCCATGGTTCGCCATTTCGGGGGTCGATATGGGATTAAGTATACATATTGATATATATGTTAATAGTTTTCAGAATATCGGAAGAGTACGAAAATCGCACAATTCTCACCAATATACCTCCAACTAGAAATTACACTTTCTAAATATATATGTCTTTTCTATATACAACGGAGTTGCAAGAAAAGGCGAGTATTCATTGTAACTTTCAAACGCGGATAATTCTTCAATTTAAAGGCTCACATTTAGACGGTGAGGTGTGAAAACTATTTCTGATTAGCTTAGGTGAAAAAGTCCGTTTTCTGATACTAAAGTACGATTGGTCAAACGGATGGTGTGTAATGTAATCCCCAATTTTGACAAACCGAAGGGTATTTAGCATATTGGAGGAAACAGTGTAACATCATTAATTACAGTACTAGTATTCGGCTGATCGCACCGCCCCTGTCCAATAAAGAACGTACTCAGCTTTCCAAATGATGGATAAAACAGTTCTAAGCGTTCGTGGAATTTTCTAGCCCGACAAATCTGGCTTTAACCGTTCATTAGACGTGATATACGGCTGTGATATCACGTCTGCTGTGATATCACGTCTGAGGAACGGGTAAGGCCAGATTTTTCGGGCTTAGAAGTTTCCAGTTTGATGTTCGGTTTCGGGCGTCATGACGTTACCAATGACTAATCAACACCAACCGAATCAGACCTTCATGTCTTTGAGACCAATACTTGTGTCCCTCCAAGAACCGCACAAGATCTATGTGAACTATTAAACAAG